CTTGTGAAAGTCACGGATATTCAACTGCTTGAACTCCTCCAAACTTAGCACACCTATGGGAACACAGGAAAAGCCACCTGACTGTGGTGCAGGTAATAGTTCTTGTGTTCTGTACTTGGAGAAACACCAGCTGAGGGCACTGCAGGAACTGCCTTCCTCACACAGACCCCAGTCTGGGTCCACTGTGTCTACCACAAGCTGCACCCTTCTGCCCATAGCCATGGGCTCCAGCAATGCTCTCACCTGCAGCAGAGGACACAGAGAAACCTGCCAAAGTGAACTGCAGGGTCAGAACTGGGACAAGCAAAACACCTTTTCAAACATTAAAAAGCTCCTGAAACACACAAATCAGTACACCAAAAGAGAGAAGCCGACACTACAGTTCTGATATACAGAAGAAAGTCTGTGCCACCCAATGTCTTGAGGCTTATTACTTAGATATTTAAATCAACATGTTTAAGGACAGAGTGGGACCTCAGACCACATTTTCTATATGACCTTGCAGGGTAATTACGAAAAAGCCACACCCAAAACAAGCAGTACATTGTTCTGCATTTGTGTAATTGCAAAACATAAATGAGGAATGCATGACAGTATGGTCTTTCGTAAACAGAAATAAAAGAAAAGCAAGAGGTATAAAGCAGTTTCTCCTAAAACAGGTATTTCTTGTTTGCACTCAACTGGAATCAGCAAGGTATGGACTCTTGCCTTTGTGAGCTTCAGGAAAATCCTCACATTTCCAGTTTCCTCTTTCTGGAGAAGCCTTGCACACGTCCTTGATACCAGCATGAAGCGCACTGCCCTGGGCTGCCCAGCACACACCATGGGCTGAGAGAGGAGCTCACTCAGGCAGCAAACCCAGTGCTGCTGGATGCCAGCTCTGCTCCCTGGGCACCAGCACCCCCTGGCAGGAGGAAGGACTAGCCACAAGGGTCAGTCAGGGACAGTTCCTCAGGTGCCATGTCCTCAGGTCATGACCAAATGATCTACTGTTATTATTCCTAGTGTCTCTCTATCCCCACCTCCCCTTACTCCCCACAGTCTTTGATGACGCAGCCACATCCAGGTTGTGACCTGGTCTCTCAGTGTCATGTACCAATCTAACAACAGAGGGAAGCAGCACTCTGGAAGCAAGGTCCTGCCAATAGCCCTTTAACAGGACCTTTCATTTGTTAATGTCCAGAATGGTGGAAAAGCCACTGAGGACTCAGTCATACCCCTGCCAAGAATGCCACCAGCCTAGAGGAGAGTTGCACAGGGTGCCCTCCGGATATTTATGCATTCACACTGCTACTGCTTCAACTCCAAAGCAGCTCCTCCTGGGCAGCTCTCAATGCCAGGTCACTGGAAGAGAGTGTGTAGAGCCTGTGCATTCACTTAATTTGATTAGGAAATGGAGTGTTGCTTAATTGAGGCCACTCTAATTAGAGCAGCAGAGGTTAGAGTGTATGTCCGGACCAGCAGGAGCTCCTGGGAGCAGGAGGGGCAGAAGTGGCCTCATGGAATACAGAGAGGTTGTGTGGCAGAGAGAGGGGTCAGCACCAAACGCTGACAGATAACATCACCCCCACCTCCACTTATTCCACTCTCCCCTCACAGTGACATGGGCCTCTTGGCCTGCTGCAAGTTTCTCTGAAAACAGGCGGCCATGCAATGTGTGTCTGAATATCTACATCCCAGGTAACAAGATCTCTGTAGTCAGAACCTGAGCGATCTCTCAGACCAGGGGAGCAGAAGCACAGCCCTAAGATCCTGTTACAGCAGGGGATGAACCAAGGCAGGTCTGACATGGGAGAGGGAGTACAGAGTTGTGGTCTGGTCCTGCTCCAGCAAGATCCAAATCCAGGCAGTGGTACCAGTTAGGTGCTAGCTAGAGTGGTGATGCAGGGGCAGGAGTGCTGCAGTAAGCGGGTTACTCTGCATTTACTTCCCTGAGAAGGTGTCTAAGGCAGTCTAGTGCTACTTCCCTTCTAAGAATTCAGCTAGAGAAAAAAAGCCTGGGCAGGGACACAGCTCTTGCTCTCCCCTACATGGCTGTGCAAGGTGTCCAGGGTGCTGAGGGTGAAGGGGTTCCCATGGAGCTGCTCTTACCATTCCCATCAGGATCAGCTTTGACCGCTGTGTACATCTCCCGGATGTTTTCGGGGGTCATCCACCTGCCGTTCCCAAGTCGGGTATGGGTCAAGACCTGAAATTCACAAATGGATCAAAAAAAGAGCACTGGTTTCTTGCACTCCTGAGGACCTAGAGATTCCCTGCATGAGGCCTGGCAGGATCTCCTTCACAACACATCAGCCAGACAGGCATTGGCACATTTCTGCAGAAAGACGATTGCAGTGAGACTCATCTGGCAGCCACACACAGTGTTGCTGATGAGTGCTGTTATTTCCAGTTTAGGTCATGGCAAATGACTGCTGGGACTTGGTTAATCAGCCTTGAGGTGGAGAGAGCACAGGCTTTCTCTTGAAGGGAAAATAAAGCTATTGATGATAAAAGTGAATGCTTTAAGGTCTTTAAGTGAATGCAAGTTAAGGTCTTGGAACAAAATTCTTCCCTTCAACATGTACAGAGAGATGCAGAAGCCTGAACAGCTTTCAGAGAAAGGAGCCTTGCCCTGGGCTGTCACAGGCACAGCTTCCCATACTCCACAGCACTAGTGGAGCACAGGATGGTTCAGACTCCCAGCTTCACCTGAAATGGGAGCCTGAGGATGGACATGCTTGAACTGTCAGTACTTGCCTTGATGCACCCTGCCATACAGGGCAAAGGTACTGAAGAGCTGTGGACAAGAGGCTTATTATCCCCCTTGGCTCATCAATAGGGATGGCTTTGCTGGGCCTCTTGAATTCACAAAGTAAGTTCCCCACAAGCAGCACAAAGCAGGGCCTACGTGACAAACTCACTTCCCAGGACACACAGCAAGAGGCAACAACCCACAGCATCAGGAACATTTTATCCAGAATATTGAAAACACACAGTCCTGCCAAGGACTGTTGCTGCCTCCCAATAGCATGACAACTGCTGCACATTGCCCCAAAAACTGCCATTCTGAAGGCCAGCAGAAATTTTGAGGCATAAAATTAAGCAAATTGTGATCAGTATATCCTGGGGTCTGGCCCCACCCAAGCACATGAGTAACCAAGCACATCAAGTAACACTTGATGAGGGGATGTGCCAGAGGGGCCCCAGCAAATCTTCCCCAGTCTGTCCCACACTCTACCTCTTTGAGCTGCAGCAGCCCATCCTGATTGTGATCCAGCAGATTGAAAATGTCCATCTGGCTGATTTCAATCATTTCCATGGCTTCCTCATAGTCCTCTGTTGGTAGGATCTGGCTCTTCTGTAGCCCCTTTAGCTTTGCCAGGTGGACAATGAGCTTGCACTCCTCCTCTGTCAGGAAGTCAGGGATTTCTGCAGCAAAAGTGTGAGCACCAACAGAGACTGAGGAACTGTTACAGTGGGATCCTATGATTGTGGCAGGAGACTCAGGAAAAAATAACAAAAGAGATAGGGGGGAAATTTAGGAACTGTCTAAGTTTGGGACATTCTAAAACATCCTGCCTTCTATCAGAAGGGTTCTCAAAGAGCATACATCACACACCTGAGCTGCTGGAGGCAGGTATTTTTACAGCAGCAGTTCCTAAATGTTTGGATCCTGGGGTCAAGCCCTTAAACTCTCTCACAGATACCACAATAGACAAAGGAGTGAACAAACACGTGCATATCACTGCATATTACCATTTCAAAGGTGCCATGTGGATCACACAGTCTGGGAACTGCTGCTTTACTGGAAGGGAGGCCAAAAATCTTTACAGTGGGCAGTGGTGATGGCCAGGGTTTCAGACGTCCTTGCTCTCACGTGGAGAGGATGGCACTTTGCACAAAACCAAATCCCTTTCAGGAAATCACAGCACAGTGCTCTATTATGAAACTTAAACAGGAGAAAAATTCTAACTTACTCCCTCTCATTCTGTTGATCCCCCACTAAAAATGGTCTTCAAATGCAATATTAAGGAGGAACATACTGGACATGGAGGATGCCAGGCTTCATATCTAGGCATCTCCAGCTTTCCTTTGCAGCACAAACCCAGAAGCAATCAGGCAATTCCACAATCCCAAGCAAATTAAAGTGCAGAGAAATCCATTAATGACCATGAGGCTAGGAGATTTCTAGCTGCATGGTACACTGGGCATGCACTTGGAAAGGTCCCATGCCAGAGCACAGTTACACTGTGGCCCAGAAGGTTCAGAGGATCCTCCTGGTGGGTGTCCTTGTTGGTGACCTTGTTACCAGCTGTTGAGACTTTTGAAAAGGGAAAGAAAAACCACCAATGCAGGACAGGTTAAGTGCTCTTAGACCTAAGGTCCTGCTCTCCAAATTGCAGCTCCCTAGAGCTTCTGCAGGTATGTGCCAAGGACACATTATAGATCAACTACAGCAGCAATCCTCAAATGGAGGGAAAAAATTAATTACTTTCATGACCTGAAATCAACCCTATCGTCTCAAGCTGTCAATAAACAGTTGGCTTCCTGCTAAGCATAGACCAGAACCAGCCCTGTAGAAAATGAGCTGTTCCTGGGAAGCCCCAGGAACACAATGCAGCCAGCTGTATCCGTAACACACTCCAAGGAAACAATTTCCGCCACAGGCAGCACAGGGTCCTTGTGCCAGAGGATGCTTCAGAGTTGGAGCTTCTACTGACCAGTTTGAACCTCATGGCACAGCACCAGGTCCAAATGAACCATTGTGCACTGGCAACCAACACTCCCAGTATTTCCAGTTCCTCAAACCGGGCTACAATAATGATGGCTTATGGAACCTTAATTACGTGCTGTAGGAAGGACAATTCCACTCTTCAGTGGTAGTAACGGGATTTCAGACTGAAGTAGGAATTCTGTTAACTGGAAAGCATGTGCTCATGCAGGTTGCAAGGTGAGGGGGTTTCCAGCTGAGTGCTGCCAATCCCATCTGCAAACAACTTGGCTCCACAGCTGCAAATTAGTTCCTCTCTGCCCCCAGCTCTACGAAACAGTTAACTTGTGGCTGTGAGACCATCCTATCTCCCTGCCTGCCCAACAATAGATCCAGCTAAACAAATGCCTCCTAATTGACTTTAAGCAACACTTGATTGCTTTTACAAAAAACAAAAGAGAGGAAAACATTAGGGTTTATGAAATAATGACTAATCCTGGAGCAAGAGAAAGGGGATGGGTTGGAGCACTGGTGTCAAACAGAGATTCAATCTTGGCTGAAAGAGCCCCAAGACACATAGGCCAAGTCATTCATCCCTCCCCAACTGCCCTCATTTCCACACCTGCTGATCTAAGCCAAACCCCTGCTAAAATACAAACAATCGGGGCCGCTGGCAAATGAAAATTGGAGCATTGTCTTCCCCATGAGGGCTCTGAAAGGGCCGAACTTAATGAGGATGGATTGACAAAGAGGTGGCTCGTAGGCTATAAAAGGCATTCCACAGTCAGGAGCAGCTCAGTCCGGGGTGTGCTGTCGGTTCACTTGCTCCAAGCATGGTCACGTCCCCTCGCAGGCACCCCTCGAGGTTGGGTGGCCCGTGGCTCCTGGGTCTCCTGGCACGCCTGCTGCTCTGGGGCTCTCCAGGTGCCTGGGCGAGCTACCTGAGGAGATCCTCCAGCTGCATGCCCATCCCACACCACATGGCCCTGTGCTACGATATTGGCTACTCTGAGATGAGGATTCCCAACCTGCTGGAGCATGAGACCATGACAGAAGTCATCCAGCAGTCTTCCAGCTGGCTGCCCTTGCTGGCCAGGGAATGCCATCCAGACGCTAGGATTTTCCTCTGCTCCCTCTTTGCACCGATCTGCTTGGACAGGTAAGATGCTTTTATGAGTTATTTCAGCTGTAACAGTTAACTCCCTGCAGGAGCACAACTACATGTGCCTCCTGAGAGAAAATGCGTTCAGTGTGAGCCGAGCAGTCCCCAAAAAGTAATGCTGGTGCTCTTGACAAGGGACAATTGGATAGCTCAGCAGGGAACATCCCTCTGAAAGCGAAACATGATCATTTTATATCACAGTGAAATATGTTCTCTCTTTGGGATTCTTCTTCTCTCTCACCCCAGGCACTGCTGCCACATGCCTTGGCCAGCCCCTCATACACTGCAGTAGCTGCTGGCACACACACAGGCTTCACCTCCCACCTCCCGTGCAGCCCCTCACTCCAGCTCCTGCCCTGAATACAGAGTTTCTCAATTTGCTAACTGTTTCCCAACAGTTCTAGCAGCAGAAAGAAATCCCCAGTTTTGAGGTGCAGTTCTTAAAGTACAGAGCTGCTAAGGAAATTTAGTGTGTAATCAGGCACCTGTAAAGGTAAGCAGTCTATGCACAACTAGAGAAGATCCCTAAGGAGGTGAAGGGCTTCTGGCAGCTTGCCTCATCCCTCCTGTCCTCAGAAATTCCTTGCTTGCTTCTGGACATGAATGTTCAAAAAAACCTCAAAGATCCCCAGATTGCCTGCTAATCAGTGGTGCTAGAGCTCGACCCTCAGCCTCCTGCCAGGCACACGGAGGTGCTGAACACTCATCCCCTCCCCAGGCTCATCTATCCCTGCCGCAGCCTCTGTGAAGCCGTCAAGAGAAGCTGTGCGCCCGTCATGGCTTGTTACGGCTATCCCTGGCCTGAAATCCTGAACTGCAACAAGTTCCCTGCAGATCATGAGCTGTGCATTGCAGCAGTCTCCATGGATGAAAATTCCTCAAGCAGGAGAAGTAAGAGGTTTTTTCTTCATATATTTTCCCTTATGTAACACTGAAAGCTCAAAAGCATGATCCTATGACTTGTTTCTATTCTGTATATTTCTGGTTTTAAGCTGTATTTAAAAAAAAAAAATTACAAATTCTAGTTTTGTTCTCTCTGGGAACTGTGTCTAGAAAATTAGCATAACATTGACTGTGGCTTGTTCCTCTCTCTGCTGTATTCATTAGCTCCCTGGGTGCCATCAGACCCCGCAGGGTTTGGGGCAGGGGGAAGGAAAGGCTGCAAAGCCTCCGGCCCAGGCACAGTGGGAGAGCTCATGGAGTGCAGACTCCCAGCAGCGAGATGTGCCTCAGTGGAGCTATGGAGCTGCAGCCCCGATCTTTCAGCTGCGTCTAGGGCTTGAAAACATGCAAAAAGAAATGTTTTGCAAGCCTTCTCTCTAAACGTTAGAAACCATGAAAGGACATGAGCCTCTGCAGACATGAGTTACACAGGAAAAAAGTCTGTCTGAAAGACTCAATTAACACCCAGATACTGATGAACACTGGGGGAGATTCAAGAGCAGTTAAGGGGAGAACAGACATTTCAAAATCATTTCAGCATCACTGGATGAGTCTGGCTATACCACTGGAAACTTTGCTGTTTTATCCAAATTAGGAGATCTTCATTAAGCATTTTCACTGCTGCTTTAACATGCAGTAACACACGCAGGCCAGAACAAAGCATGACAAGCAGCGTCTGCCCCAGCCACAGGAAGGAGAGTCTAACATTTCCCACCCTGCCTGTCTGGGGTATCTCTCTAGGGCCAGGGTAGCTCAAGAAGAAGCTACACTAAGAAACAGCAACCCACCACTTGCAGATCTAAAAATTTCATTTTCCCTCTTCCAGTGAAGCATGACAAGGGTGTTGTAACTTAATTTCTCTTGCAGCAGTGCCCCGAGCCAGCTGCAAGGACTGTGAGCTTGAGGAGGCCAGCACTGCCAGGGAGATCCTAGAAAGCCTCTGTGCAAATGATTTTGGTGAGTACCCTCCTCCTCCTCCCAGTTACTGCCATTCCCTCCAGCAGCCAGGCAGTGGCATGGACAGAAAATAGCTTTGCTATAACACAGTCACTTGGAGAAACTGCAGCTTTTACAGCAGATCCCAGGGATTTTCAGTTTCCACCTTACCTGTGAGGTAGCAGGAGGACCTAGGTCCTGGCAGCACTGAAAGTGCAGACCTGATTTATTTCTGTGGGCTCTGATTTGGTGACTGCTAAAAACAAGCAGTACTCCGGTTTTCCCTTGCAAACAAACATTTCACTCAATGTCTATAAGAATTTTTAGCAAATTCCACACCAGCTATTTCAAACTTTAATAGTGTTTTTCTAGTATTGTGACTCTCCCTCTCCTAACCCAAGCAAGCAGCAACACTGGCTCTGCTCAATCAGATAGCCGGAGTTTTCAAGGTAATGCCCTGAATTCAGGCACACATATAGAAAAATGAAGATATTTTTCAATAAAAGAAAAAAAGATTGCAAATCCTGAGCAGCTGTCAGTCATGTCACTTCCTGAAATCCCTGCTCAGAGAAAAGTAAAGTAATTTGCACAAGACCAGGACTTTGATACATCTGCTTGCTTGTGTCCATGATTCCTCCAGTTTCTGCAGTGGTGCTGATACATCTTTACCGCTCTTAGGAGGGAAATTGAGATTGAGAATTGAGAAGGATTGAGAAGGAGGTCTTTTCTTCCAGGTAACAAGAAGAGGAAATGGCTTCAAGTTGCAAGGGAGAGGTTCAGATTGGGTAATAAGAAATATTTCTTCACCAAAATAATTACCCAGCACTGGAACAGGCTGCCTAGGGAAGGGCTTGAGTCAGCATCCCTGAAGGTTTTTGAAAGACATGTAGATGTGGCACTGGAGGACATGGTTTAGTGGTGAACTGGGCAGTACTGGGTCAGTGGTTGAACTTGATCTTTGAGGTATTTTCCAACCTAAATAATTCTGTGATTCTAAGAACAGTGTTCGGTACTGTAAACTAACCTCAAATGAGAACTTTTACAAGTTCACTGCAATTGCAAAAGCTTGGACAGATACCTCCCCACAATACAGAGACAGCAGAGAAGCCTTGGGCTGGCTCTGTAAGAGCTATAAAGAGTAAATAGAACTCACAGCTCTTTTTCCAACCCCTGCAGCAGTGAAAATCCGAATCCTGAGGAAGAACACCACCACCACTATCTCGGACTTCGACCTGGACCCCTCCAAGGTGGAGGTGCTGAAGCATGGCCCGCTCCTCAGAACTGAAATCCCTGCCAGGCTCCAGCAGTGGCTGGACATAGATGCCACCTGTGCCCACAACATCATGAGAGGCACTCAGGCAGGGGTCTTCGTTGTAAGTGGTGAAGTACAGAGTGACAAAGTGGTGGTGAACAAGGCCTATGCCTGGCAGAAGAGGAACAGGAACCTGCACCAGGCAGTGCGGAGGTGGAAACATCACCGCTGCCCTGAACAGGTGGGATGGAAGGTCTGAAAAATCTCAATTCCAGCAAAAAGAAACTGCTCCCTTCCCTATGGCTAGAAAACTCCTTTCCCTGGCAGTTGGTGTTTTGGAGATGTACAGTCATATTTCTAGGTGTTTTGAAGCAGTCATAGTGCACAGATAGGGCTTCACTACAGATCACTGTTTTACCAAGACAGAGTTTAAGGATGCAGGTTTGGCATGTTCCTCTCACACGGCTCTGCAGATCCAGGACGTGCTATGTTCAGCTTTGTGTAGGATCCAATATCACAACCAAACTTAACTATGCAGGTGAGGACAAACTAGAAGAAACCTTTAATAATAGTTCCTTCTAGTTGTCATTATCAGAGCTGGTATTTCAGATTCTTATTTGACCCTGAGACATTGATGTTGTACAAGTGCCTGCTTGCTTTCTGTCCAGAGATTACATGAAAGTCTCCCTGACTGTGAAGTGATACTTTTTATGTAACGGAGCAAATACTTTACTCTTGAACAGCCTGAAGTAAATTAATGGGAAGAGGAACCCACCCCAACTATGCCCAGCCCCTTAAAAACTGCATGCTGAACTCTGCTCGAGTCAGGCTGTCCCTTCAGCTTCCTGCACTGAGAGTTGATGAGCATCCACACACGCAAAAGGAAACAGCCATTCTCAAGCAGGAAAGGCACAGAGCAGATAGCTGAGGTTTTCTACATAACAGGGAAAAGTATTTTTGAACATCAGAAATTCAGTGCGAATCAGAAGATTCTGGTAATTTGGGATATCACAAGAACGCTTGAATGAGACATCAGCTGTTCAAAGTTCTGCTTTGGTGAACAGCAGCTTTGCTCGGGACTGGGAGGTGAGTCCCAGCCCCAGAACAGTAGGATATTGCAGTTTTGATACGGGAGCAGGGGAGAAACCTTCCATAGCTGCCTGGCCTTCCACCTGTACACAAGGAAGATAGAAAATATGGGAAATCTCAGTCTCACCAAGTTCTCTGCAGCTCACTCTCTCACTCAAGCAGGACTGTCACACCCTGGAGGGGTACATACTGTGCTCCAGACCACAGAGCAGAAAACAGCAAATCCCCAAATGAGGAAACAAGTCGGATTTCTACTGCCTAGCAAAGCACTGTCCATGGAAAGTTTTTTATATTGGTTTAAACTTGTGGCCGAAATAAAAAACCAAAAAAACAAACAAACAAACAAAAAAAAAACCAACAAAAAAACAAAAAAACAAAAAACCAAGCGGAAAAAACAGCCTTTGGGAGGAATACTTTCTGCCTTGTTGGTGATGCTGCAGCGTTGGCCGTGCAGAGACAGCCGGTCTGCTGGAGACACATTGCCTCCCCGTGTTCACAAGGAACACCAACAACCCACGCTGCGGGCTCCTCCTCACACTGCTGTGGGCTGAAACAAGCGCTCAGACACACACGCTGCAATTCAGCTGCGCCCTGACATTTGTGCAGTGATTACTTCTCTTCCCTGAGGCTCAGAAGAAAAACACAGCCAAATTTCCTATCTTTATTCCTGCCCACTGTCTTAGAAACTGCTGCCCAATCCACAGAATCTGCTGTCAGGTGGTCCCTGCAATGGCAGCATCTTCTCAACAGACCGCGTTTGGAAAACAGAACACATAAAAGCTCTGAAGGTTGAAAAGGCTTTGTCTGATTTGTTTTCCATTAGTAGGGCTATTTGATTAGTTGTGTTTTCCAGCTGAAAACTGCACAGATGGTCTTGACTTACAAGCTTTAGAAATGATGCCTTGTAGCCAGAGGGGGGGAAAAATAGGGCAGGGATTTTTTTATAGCTCCATAAAATACGCTTGGGGTTCCATGCAGATGTGACTTACCCACAATTAAAGGCCAAACCTAAAGTTTCCCTACGGTGCCCAGACCATGTTCTGAAGCCCAGAGAACACATTAAATCATTCATGAGTGTCTGCTGCTGTGGTCCCACTGCAGCCTGCTCTGCTGGAAGAAAATAGATGACAGACCAGGCACTGTTTCCTTAAATTTGCTCTTGTATGCTGCAGCATTTAGTGTTAAATCCCCAAAAACTCAAGAGTCTTTGCTAAGGGCTTCTGTATTCATCAAACACAACCAAGTTAAATACACACTTCCACCAATTTAAGCAACAGAGATGCAATTAATTAAGTTTTTTTAAACCAGTTGAATTAGATTGGTACAGCTTGCATAGATAGAGAAGTCTCTGGAAGTCTTTTAAAGTCAGAGCTGGCTCCTGGCAGGTTCATCTGGGAGATAAGAACCGTCTTGTAACTTGCAGTTTCTAAATAAGGGACTTCTTATCAAAGGACAAAGGAGAACAGACTTTGTGGCATCTCAAATGGTGAATGTCTGTCACTGTCTGTGATGACATCCTCAGGGAGCAAAGCTTCTCTTAAAACCAATGGAGGTGCTGGAACAAGAAGCTAAAAATTGCAGGATTACTGCTGCCAGGACAAACCTGCCTTTTATCATTTTCAGCACCTTCTTTGCAGGCCAGGACCAACTGTTTCACTTCAGTGGTACTAAAAAGGCAGGGAAAGAGGAAACAAGAGTTTTCCTGAGTGAAAACCAGAGCAATTGCCTCAGACCATGGTTCTGGTAATGACATTAGTTTTGTGATGCTGTGGGGTTATCAGCTCCAGGTTGGTGTGTCTGTTTAGTGAATGTCAGACAGAAATCCACTAGAAATTAATGGCGAGGTTTTCAGTGTATACAATCTATTTGGAAACAGAAAAAAATCCCTCTATTTATATTATTGAGAAAGCTGTCTTTTCAGAAACAACAGGTCTCCTCTGACTTAGCAATAGTAGGAATTTCATAATGATTGATTCCTCCCTCAAATTGTTTAGCTTATGGTCAGTGGCTTTCCAGAACACAGAGTTCAATTAGTGAGACTTGACCAGTGACAGCAAAACATTACAGAAAGGTAAAGATCTAAAAACATCTGAAATGCAGATGTTGTTTGGTTGCGTATCAGAGAAGCCAAAAGTAAAGATAAATCTAAAACAGGATACAAAATGGTGGAAGACTTTAAATCTATCAATTCTCCTGTTACTCATTTCCTCACTGCTGAAGCATCAATACGAAATGGCTTTTTCATAATTTATTAACAGAAGTTTGGGTATCTCTTGTCCTTCCCTTATACTGAGCAGCTTCTTCAAGATTCTTGCCAGTGATCTGCTGTCCATTCCTAGCATTTTACAGAGAACCTGAAACACCTGGAAAGGTTAACATTCCGAATTCTTCAAAGTGGGCCACCCAGAATACGTAACGTCTTGCGAATTTTGCATCAACATACCTTAAACGATACCACACTCTATTTAACGCAGCCCCAAGGAACAGCAGCACAGGGAGGTAATGCCAACAAGCGGGAAGTCATTTTCCCCCGAGTGGGTGTAAGACAGCGGCGGGTGTCAGACAGACAGACAGACAGACAGACACACACACACATACGCACCCTCCGCTCCGCCGCTAGGGCGGAAACCCCCCCATTACCGGCAGCAGCTGCCCCGGCGAGGCCGGTACTCACCGAACAGGAGCGGCTTGAGGCTGAGGGTGCGCACAGCGTGGGCCCTGCCGGGCACCAGCTCCACCCGCTGCGTGTGGCCCACCTGCGGGGAGGGGAGAGCAGCGGTCAGCGCTCAGCCGTCAGCAGCCCCGGCCCCGGCCCCCGGTCGCGGCCTTGCCTTGATGCCCTCAAGGCGCGGGAGGGCGCGGGCGGGTGGCGGCGGCGGCGGCGGGGGGGCGGCGGGCGGCCCGCCGGGCTCGCCGGCGCTGAGGTGCACGAAGAGCAGCAGCCCCAGGACGTTGAGGACGTAGAGGTGCGCGAAGACCATGAGGACGAGGAAGTAGGGACGGGAGCAGACGGGCCGCGGGCGGCCCCCCGGCGGGCCGGGCAGCGGGGGCCCCTCGGCCGGCACCTCCGCCGCCGCCATCGCCCCGGCCCGCCCGGCCCCGCGTCACCACGGCAACGGCCCGGCGGGCGCTGCGTCACCGCGGGGCGGGGACAGCGGGCGGGGACAGCGACACCAGCCCCCCGCCCCTCCCCGTCCCCCCGCTAAAAAGAGCCAGGACACCGCCGAAGTTAGAAAGTCACAATTTATTTCAAATAAACCACGGGCACACCTCTGGCAACCGTCTCCCAGGCGGTTTCTGCCGCCCCTGCCCCTCTCTGGTGCCTGCGAAGAAAAGCGAGGGGTGGGAGCAGTCCTGTGCCCTCCCACACACCTCAACGCTGTCCCACAACCCCAACCAGCCGGGGCCGAGAAAGGAATTCCCAGAACAAGTGCCTCATTTAAAAATAAAGTTCTATTTTTCACCTGCTTAAAAAGTCTAAAATTTAGAGTGCAAGACTATAGTACAGAAACCTCCTGCTGCCCCGTCTGCGGACGGGCACAGAGACTTCGCTGCACAGGGCAGCAGTCATGCAGTTTATGGTGTCAGTAGAAAACGTTTTGTTACAGTCTGGGAAGCCTGAGGACGAATAAAGATGAGGCAGCCAATGCACTAACACAAGCGAAGCCCAAATAAAAGAGTACCAGATGCAAGGATGGAGAGGTGTCAGGCTGGTGCAGGAGCTGGAAACAAGTGCAAAAAAGAAAAAAGAGAGCAAACATTCCACATTTGTAGCAGTAACGCATCAAAGGGAAACTTGTGCCTTGCAATTGATAATGCCTGAGCCACTTTTTATTACCTACATCCATACAACCTTGCTAACTCAAAAAGGGCCATGTACTTATTACAGAGGGAAAAAATGGCGTTTTCTTTTGGTGTTGAGAAACCCCATGTCCTTCCTGTCGCCTGCCTCCTGAGCAGTGTCATTCACCTTAAACACAGAGCCAGCAGCCTCTGTGCCCTGCACATTTAGCCTTGAAATCCATGACTTTCTGTACAACACCAGTACAGAAGTGGTCCTGCCCGGGCTGCAAAATCAAGTCCTGTTGTTTTCCCAGAGTATGGCAATAGGATCTGTGGGCGCAACCCAGGATTTTCACCACTTTCAGAAAGGATGTTTTGTTTAAAAAATAAA